AAGGATGAGCTGCTTCCATTTTTCAAGTGCTCTGTTCATCTCCTGGTGCATCAAAGCGTAAGAGTTGTGTAACTGTGGATCTAGCTAGGCAACTCTGAAACTTTTTGGGGAGACATCTCCATGTATATATAATACGCATGTTCACAAGCAATAAAGTTTGAGTTAAAGAACTTTTCACGCACTTCTTTCTGCATTACTGCGTTATTTCTAATGCTGTGCCTGTCATAAAACATGTTCCTTATATTTGCATATCCAAATGATACTTATCTGGTAATATCTTTGTTACAGTATTTCCAATCAGAATCTGTGCCTTTGACATTGAGATGCTACAATAACTTGCCTGCTAATCATATCAGTATTTAGACATGAAGAATATATGCAGATCTTCTTCCTGCTGCGGTTATACTGGTTGAAGAGTTCAACACCCTTCTTGTGAGCTAGTCCCAGTTTGCTGGTTCAGCTGCTCACATAAACTATTTCAGTCAAAATAAGTGGAATAGGCTTACATATTTTAAGATCTTTGCAGATGCGGTTCATTTTGAAAACATGTGAAAACAAGATCACTTTATTGTATGGTTTGCAGTCCACATAAAGAACAATCAAGTTTGGCACTGAGGTGAAACAAAAATGAGAAATAATGAAAACATTTAGCACAAATCAAGCAGTCAAGTTCTCTCTTTTTGTTATGATTTTTAGGCTATTTACAGTGTCTCATTTATTTGCTTCCTTTTCAGGAAGTATTAGGTTTACGGCTCCATAGATTTCATCTTAGAACAGATCTGGCTTGAGGGTGTTGTGAAGGAAAAAGGTGGAAGGAAGTAATACAGAAATCAGAATCGCATTGCTATCGTGTATATCTTCAGTTGTATTCTCCAATGGCTGCTTTGCTGGCCTGTTCTGCATTAAGATTTTCTGGATATCAACCAATCTAAATTTGTAGTACCCAAAGAGAGAAGGTAAAATGGTCTAACAATCATTTGATATAGGTTTAATACCACAGAAATGAGAGTATGTGTGAACTCGGATTTCCTGTGATGTGTTAGGGGTCTGGAGCGAAATACACCATCAGCAGAAAATCACAAGAGGAAAAGCTGGAATGCAGTGCTTGAAATTTGAGAGGTGAGATTGTAATTTATTTGGCTGTAAATGACAGGCTCAGTAGGAACACAAAAATTTTAATCTTCAGGATATTACGTATTAAAGTAATTTAATGCTGCAAATGGATTGCAAGATTATTAATCATTATGATTCAGGTTTATTCCAATCTTGGACTTTCAGAAACTAGGATGAGATCTAATGTAAGGGATATTTTATCCCAGATCTTCCCCATTATGTGTCTAACATTTCACTCTGAAGTCTCTGATAATCACCACTGTAGAGGACTGGAGACTTGGCTAGACTCAGATCTGATCTAGTCTGGCAGGTTACTGCTTGTAGTAGTTTAATATTCTCTGAAGTGCTCTTTATTCCCTGTCCTGTTAGTATGGATTTCCCCTTCCAACTGCTCTTCTGACAGCTCTGTTATTCATCCTATATTCAGCGCACTGAGTTTGTAACTGTTCCTTGGAAAAAAACAGAAAACCCAAAACCCTCTAGAGGGAAGTTTCTGAGCCTTCACACAAAATTCCACATACAACACTGGTTCCATTTTCACCACAAGCTTTTTCCAAAGCAAACAGCTCGCTTTCCTGTTAACTGGGAGGTGTGAGGTTGCGGAGCTTTGGAGCCGTGTGAATCCCGTTGCTGTCCCAGGAGCAATGCGGTTTCCTCTCTTCTTTCCTTCCTCTTCACTTCCTGGGGCTTTATTTTCTGTCAGAGGTCCATCCTTTTTGAATGACTGTCAAATGCTTGTGCAGGTGGCAGAAGTGAAAAACTGGTGGAGCCTGGAGTCATCGCAAGCTCTAGTGGGATCAGAGATGGTTGATTTGAACTTGTGATAGGGTTTGGAAGACAATACTTAGTACACTTAGTTTTCTAAAACAAAAAGGACCTTTGTTCAGACCTAGGAAACCGTAATGAAACCCACACATCATGTTGCAATGAGTAAACTCAGATTAAAAATAAGTAAATTGCAGGTTGACTTTGTGATTCTGAGCCATATACTCAAGCCTTCCTCCATAATACTAGATTTCATTCTACCAGTGACCATTGCAGTTCTCTTCAGCACTTGTCATATACCATGATGAAATTTAGAGATTCAAACAGGAAGGGACATGATTCAAGTGAATTTTTTCTGAAATTACTGACAGGATGAGCAATTGCAGAACAATTCTCCAGATTATTTGGATTTTGAAAAGGGAAAAATGAGGTTGGTGCTTGTGTTTTCAGTAACATACTTGGAAGTGTAATAAATAAAAATTACCCAGCCAGTACTCGAGATATTTAATAAGATCTATGTATGTATATTCTTAAATATTGTTTGCTCTTCTCACACAAATGATCTTTCTGGCCCAAAGTATATTGGCTTTAACCCTTAAAATGGAAGTAGGGGAGAGCTTCACATGATCTTTCTTAGGCTATTTTGCATGGACAAAGTGCTTTTAAATACAAGCTTTGTATCCACTGTTCTGATGTTTTTGCCTAATATTGCTACTTTACTTTGAAAATAGATGACAGGTTACCATCTTGGAGTGGAGGCTTAGAGGCTGAGTATTACCTTTGGCTTATAGGTGGCTGCTTTCCTCCCCTTCAGTAAAGAAATCTTGGTCTCTAGATGCAGCAATAATCCATCAGACTTGTTCACAGTTTGCATGTGTGTTTTGTCTGATATCAAAGACATGTCAGCCAAAATGTATAAAATGCTGTCACCTGGGCCTGATCCAGGGAATTTGGTGGACGAGGCTGATTTCTGTAGCCAATTTGAGTGGCTCAACGTTAGAGAGCACACACTGGGTTCTGTGAAAGAGGAAACAGCCTCTTTTGTCACCGCAAGCTGAAATCTGAACTGCCTGTGCTGTGAGTGCAGATGCTTGATTACCCAGGTAGTCAGCAGTTGATGTACCACTGTCCTGGAAAATTAGGGATGTCTCCAGGAAGTCTATTTTGTATTGGGATAATGGCAGATTTGATGACTTCTCTTTTTTCAAAAGTATACGTTCCAGAAGACTCCAGCTGGATGTTCTGGATATGCGGAAGGAATATGTTTAAACATGAAACTTCCATTAAGATGATGAGATGTAAAATGAGTACCATGTTACTGACTGCAAGGCAGAAAACCATTTGATGACGGTGAAGGAGAGTGTGGCATAACTGCAAAGGAGTATGGGGAAGGGAGGCAGGGAACCACCAAAGTTACTGCATTATTTCTGCAGATGGGAGACCTTTGATTCATATAGCGGTCTTTGTAACTGTCATGAGCTGCCAGATCCATCTCTTCACACCTTTTGAACACAGGCAGGCAGATCAACTCCTTGATTCAACAGCTTCTTCAGCCATTCTCATTAGTGTTTTGTTAATCGTTCTGACTCTGGCTCTCCTCCCCTCTCCCCTCCCAGCACTGGGGATTTCAAGGTTCAGCTTGCATAACAGGTAATAGCAGGCATTTCCTTCTCCTGTGTCGGGATATCCTGGCGCCCTTCAGTCTCTTTCTGACTGTGTTTAAAACAGACTCCAGAACAGGAAAAAAAAAAGGGGGGGGGGGAAAAGCCCAGTCTAAAATTAGCAGCCTTGATAGAAGAAAGGCACACGGCTGTCCACTGTGCTGTTTGTCAATGAAACAACACATCTAAACAGGGCCAGAATGCATTTCCTCTCTGGGAAAAACAGACATGTCGAGTTTTGGGGAGGATGGGAGGGAGTGAGAGTAAAGCAGGCATCACACTGATGGTCGGGGAGAATTAGCCAGAAGGTTCCCAGAGTTACAAAACCATGCTGTACCTGAAAAGGCTGTAGGAAAGTCCTGTTACGGCAAGGCTGTATATCTGTCTCTTGGCAGCACTGACTGGTGCTTGAGAGCCTTGCTGCACCTGGAAGCTGGATCAGATGCTTTGAGAGTTACAGAACCTCTGCAGTCTCCTCCTCTTGTTTGAATTTCAGGTTCATCATCCTTAATGGGTGTTTATTGCTGTGAGGACCATACTTAAATGACTTAGGCTAGATTCTCATCTTGCAGCAGTGTAAAGCTGCTTTATACCATTCTAAACATTCTGAGTTTTTAAAGTTGAAATTAAAATTTAAAATAAAATGGTGTTACTTTATTATAACCTGTTGTTTACATTAATAATAATGATACATTTTTAATCTGATGTTGTAAGAAGCTTGAATTTTATACTCCATCAATGACAGTTTCAGGCATGGATATTTTATAGGATTGGACTCTTGGTGTCATGAATACTGAGTGACTTATTTTATGTAGTAAAGAAAGGTATTATTGCAAAATGTTTACAGTTTGTTGCCACTGCTGTCAATATGGCATTGTAATAAAACCATTTCCTTCTTTCCTCATTCATTTCTGTATACAGTCTGTGTCCATGAGAATTACTGCGGGAATTTTATTTATAGCACTCAGTGTTATGAACTGACTTCAGCTTTCTTTGTGCAGACATATTTGTCTATCAAAATCTAGCTGATGGTCATTGAGTAAAATTCAGTGAGCTAAAAGCAAATAATCATGTTTCAGTGAGACTTCAAAAATTTGCTCAGCTGTACTGCTCTGCTTTCAAACAGTTCCTTTGGCATATTTTGTCCTGCTAAATTGTGGGACTACATTGCATCCAGTTTATTTCTTTCATGTTTGCCTTCCTGGTTTCATAGGAAATAATAAAGGCTTGTTTTTCTTGGTTGGCAGAGGACTCATTCTGATATATCCAAGATAAAAGCTTCTATTCATGTACTGCAGAATCTCATGGGGAGAGCTTTTAGGAGACAATGAGCTTACTTTTAGATTTAGACCTTTTTGGTATTCTTTGTCACTTGAAAGATTCATAAAGTAAGAAACTCTTTTCGACCTGGATTTAATAGAGACTAAGGATTTTTCCATCAGCAAAAAGAAGTGGACTTACTGGCAAGTTGGAACACGGCAGCTATGGCTTCTTCCCACCACTGGGTATCCTGAGAAATGATAGGTAGCTCCATCAGGCCCAGGACGAAGATGAGCTGGCCAGCAGTCAGAGCAGCAGTGGCGATGAGGTTACAAGCACGCATCATGTCAAACTGCACTAGGGAAACATAAGAAGTAAGTGTAAAGTTAAAATGGTAGAAAACTGGGAAAAAGAAAATCGTGGCTGAGCAGGTATATAAAATTTGTCAGTCCATAGAAAATGATTCTCAGACACTATGCCTACTCCCAGCAGTGCTTTGCTCTAACTGCATTCCCTGTGGTCTGACAAAGAAAAGATTTTTCTTTAGGATGTGCATAGAATCTTTCCTTTAGTTACACAGCATCGCGTAACTATTGCTTTAGTGCAAAACAATCTTGTATGAAACAAGCAGCTGATTTCAAAGGATGGCCTGCTGGAGGTGCTTGACTTCTGCCCTGCAAAGATTCTAGCTATAATTAGTAGCCAGAATTGTTTGGGGCAGGAACAATGTTTGATTTGCGTTTGTGTGGCACTGACTGAAATGGAACCATAGTTCATAAATAGGTTTTCAAGGCCCTAAAATAATAATCATCCCAAAGACAAATCTGTAACACCCTGAATTTCTTTTTCACCTAGTCCATCTGTATTATCCTAGAAAACATCCTGTGGATGTTAATGCTAACTTCTTAGTGATTTAAGGGAGCTTTGTACAGAGGATTCCTAACTTTTCCTTCTTTTAACATTTATTACTCTTTTAGATGCACTGTGAAGACCCTAGTATTTCTATCTGTGTAACAAGGCAAATGGTTACAATGAAAATGTCAATGTTTGGCAGTTCTGAATGAGGTGTTACGGCATAATTTACATGTATAAGTAAAAAGTTGCATTTTTAAAAAATATACATTAGTTCATACATATATTAGTGGATGTTGTTGTGGGAGTCTACTCTTGACCACCCAGCCAGGATGACGACACTGATGAATTATTTAACAAGGAATTAAGGGATATCTCTAAATCAACTGCCCTTGGCCTTATGTGTGATTTTAACTTCCAAGACATCAACTGGGAATATCATACAGCGGTCACAAACAACTCCATGAAATTTCCAAGCACCTTGACAATAACTGCTTGGTGCAGGTACTGAGGGAGCCAATTAGGAAAGGTGCCCTCCTCGATTTGTAGTTTGTAAACAGAGAGTGACTCATGGGCGAAGTGGTGATTGGTGGCTGTCTTGGTCACAGTGACCACAAAATAGTTGAGTTTCAAATCACAGGTGATAGGACAAAAACTGCCAGCAAAAGGGGAGAGCAGACTTCGGGCTGCTGAAGGAGCTAGTTATTAGTAAGGTCCTCTGGGACTCTGCTTTTGAATGTATTGGGGTCTATGAATGCTGGTCACTTTCTAAGAGCCATCTCTTAAGAGCACAGGAGCAGGCAATTCCAAAGTGTTGGAAGTCATGCAAGTGGGGCAGAAGGCTGGCATGGCTGAGGAGGGATCTTCTTCTAGAACTTAGGCAGAAAGGGAAAGTTTATGGACGTTGGAGGCAAGGACAGATGATACAGGAGGACTACAGGGTTGCTATTTGCCACTGTAGAGAGAATATTTGTGTGGCCAAAGCTTGATTAGAGTTCAAGCTGGCCAGCACTGTGAAGGACAACAAAAAAGGCTTTTTGAAATATGTTAGAGCAAAAGGAGGACCAGAGATAACACTGATGAGGGTGGTCACCTCACAAATAGGGACACAGACAAAGCAAAGACTTTTAATACCTTCTTCGCCTCTGTAACACTGATGATGGGCCCTTGGACCCCTGGAGCCCTGTGTTGGAAGACTCTGACTGGGGGGGATAATAAACTCACAGCTGACCCTGAACTTGTTCAAGACTTGCTGCTCCAGCTGGATATGCATAAATCTGTGGGTCCCACTGGGATTAATCCCAGGTTACTGAAAGAGCTGGCCAATGTCATTGTGGGACCTCTCTCCGTTATTTTTCAATGGTCTTGAGAATCAACTGGAAGCTGGCAAGTGTCCCAATTTTCTAGAAGAGTAAGAAGGAAGACCCTGGTAATTACAGGCCTGTCAGTCTCACTTCAGTGCCTGGTAAAATTATGGAGAAGCTTATTCTGGGAGTTACTGAAAACCACTTGAGAGACAATGTAGTCATTGGTCATACATGATTTCATGAGGGGAAAGTCCTGCTTAACCAACTTAATCTCCTTTTATGATAAGGTGACCTTATCATCTAGTAGATTGAGGGAAGCCAATCGATGTGGTGGTTTTGGATTTTAGCAAAGCTTTTCATACTGTCTCTCACGGTATCCTTCTGGACAAACTGTTCAGCACACAGACAGAAACGTTCATCATATGTTGGGTGAGCAACTGGCTGACGGGCTGGGCTCAAATAGTTACAGTAAATGGGGTTACATCAGGCTGGTGGCCAGTCACAGTGGGGTTCCCTAGGGCTCAGTTTTAGGGCTAGTGCTCTTTAATGTTTTTATAAATGGTCTGGACAGAGGAATTCAACGTATCTTAAGTAAGCTTGCTGATGATACTACATTAGGAGGAGCTGTGAACTCCCCCAAGGGTAGAGAGGCATTACAGAGAGATCTGCATAGGCTAGAGAGCTGGCAATCACGAACCGTATGAAATTCAAGAAGAGCAAGCGCTGGATTTTCCACCTGGGATGGGGTAGTTCTGGTTATATGCACAAACTGGGGGACAAGAGGCTGGAGAGCAACCCCATGCAAAGACATCTGGCAGTTTGGGTTGACTGCATGTGGAACAGGAATGAACAGTGCCCTAGCAGCCAGAAAGGCCAGCTGTCCAGGGGTGCATCCAGTCCAGTATCACCAGCCGGTCGGGGCAGGTGATTGTCCCACTCTGCACTGCACTGGGGTGGTCCTGCCTCGAATACTGGGTGCAGTCTTGGGTGCCTCAATATACAAAGGACATCAATCTATGAGAGTGTGTCCAGGGGAGGGCGACCAAGATGGTGATAGGCCTCAAGGGCAAGACTTATGAGCAGTGGCTGAGGTCACTTGGCTTGTTCAGCTTGGAGAAGAGGCGGCTGAGGGGTGACCTCATTGCAGTCTACACCATCCTCAAGGGGGGAGCGGAGAGGGAGGTGCTGATCTCCTCTATCTGGTGACCAGTGATAGGACACGAGGCAATGGAGTGAAGCTGCGTCAGGAGAAGCACAGACTGGACATTAGGCAAAGGTTCTTCACTGAGAGGGTGGTTGGTCCCTGGAATGGGCTCCCCAGGGAAGTGGTTATGGTACCAAGCCTGTCAGAGGCCAAGGAGTGTCTGCAGGACACTCTTACTCATATGGTTTATATTTAGGTAGTCCTGCGAGGAACAGGGAGTTGGACTTGATGGGTCCCTTCCAACTTGAGATATTCTATAACTCTATATTAAATATAAAGAACAAATGCAGAAAATATTACAGACATAGATATCTGGAGTCTTGTCTGAAAACCTGATTGAAATGTGTCTCCCAGCTGGCTAATGAATGGAACATACTCATTGCTAAGTCGGGTACTTTCAGTGAGGCTTTTTTCCTACTTATGTGGTTAACCTGATGGATGTCCTGTTTTCATCCTTTTCCTTCCTCTCTAGCAAAAGGTGGGATTTGTAAATATCATTGTGCCAGTTCAACATCTCTTGCCAATATGTCCTTGCTATTCTGAAACAGAAGCAGCTCTGTGTTTAAGTTGTCGTATGTTAGAAAAAGAAAGACTCTGGGCATGAATATTCACCAGATTTTCAAAAGTGGCTTAACTGGCTATAAGCTTAGTGGGTGCACTGGCCACCAAAATTTGATTCCTGATCTTCAAAGGAGTCTGCCAGGAACTGCATAAAACAAAACCTGATATAAACAAGTAAGTCTAAACTTCGTGGTAATCACTGAGTCTGGTCTACCTTTGTGAATCATAAAAATTAGTTTACCCTTTATTTTCCCTTCATAAGTCATCTTTAAGTTCCAGTGGTCTAAGAAACACCTAATGATTTAATTAAAATTTAATAAAGTATGGTATTGTATCTGAAAGAGTTAGTTAAGAACCATACTCCCTTAAACTTTTTCACATTGAATAAAATGTTAAGAGGATAATATACTGAGTATTTTTGTTTCTTCCTAGTGAGTTCATCTCTGACCAGAGAGGGAAATTATTTCACTCAAAAAAATAGCTTGCTCACAGATTTTGTGTTTAATTTTCCAAGCTGTCCTTTCTAGCATTGGGAGCATTTAGATGTCTTGCCACATTGAACATTCAGAGGTCATGAAGCATGTTGGCTGATAACAGAATCACATTCAGATGTCTGAGCTTTGTAAATATCAGTAAAACTTTGAGCATTTGGAGTGTACTTCTGTTTTTCCACTTAAATGGACTTCTGTAATACTTTGAGGAACAATGCTTGCTGAAGAGATAGTAATGACTTTCAAGGAGAAATGTACTGAGCAGGCTTGCAGCCATTGTTATTAAAGTACTTTAATTTGTTGACAGAACTGTCTAGTGTCAGATTAAAAAAAATAGTTTGTTTACAGCCATAATGAATTCTGTTGCCTTGTCTGTATATAGTATGCATGAGTTTAAAAAAAAAAACAAAAAAACCAAAAAACCCCTCTGTTATTATATACCCTCTAAATGTCTGAAGCTTATCCCAGAAATACATACTATCCCTTGACATAGAAACAAATACCAAATATTTGCCTTCACTATTATTCATGACTTCTTTTTAACACTTACCTGTATTATAAATTCATTTGGCTTTGCCAGAGATGATATTATATCTAGCATACTAAAAATAGTAAGTTTATGACTGTGACTCAATTGAATTCCAACAGAATTTGTAATAATTTATTCTTCAAATAATGGTTCTGTGGTTGCTGTCCTCGCTTGCAGTTGGAGAGTGCAGCAGCATTGGATGTGTGACGCTGATGATCTTTACTGCTGTTTGTAAGAACTGCAGACTTAGGCATGCTTATTCGCCTAATATGCTGCACTGTTCAGAGAGACGTAGAGATGCAACTGATATTTTGCATAGCTGCTTCTTTTAACCAAAATGAAGGTTGTACATGGTCCAGGTTGGAACTGCAACAGGATGCTGATAGGTGGAATAAGGAGGAAGCAGCTGGAAT